AAGACGGTTAGCTATATAGCTGGTGTACCGCTTTTCAGTATTTTTAATATAGTATAATACTATCATGGAATCCGTATGAAAACTCACTCCACAGAAGAAGTTGGGCAGACTTTTCCGTATTACCTCGCTCAACCTTACACTTAAGACTGCTGCCGCCATTTCAAACCTCGGTATCGTGACTTGTTTAATAGGTGCTACCCTAGACTTGCTGTATAACAGGACACAGTAAGGTTGTGCCTTCGTATAGCTTACCCGAGCGTCAGCAACCGCCCCATAACCAATCTCCGAAGCATCACTGAATAAGTGCAACTTCACCTTCGCGTCAGTTTCATCGATTCTATTCTTGATACCTCGGGCAACTGTGACATGACCCATCTGGCGCATGAAACTTAACCAATCTAACCACGTTGGACACGTATGGTTCGTCGAGAGGTTGATCCCATCCTATTTGGGATTTACATAAACCTTGCAGAAGTAGCTTAGCTGTGGGACACACTGGAGCGATCAGACCCAAAGGATCGAACAGAGACGAAACAACAGACAACATTCCTCTCCTTGTCACTGGTTTATCTGGTGCATCAAAGTGGAACTTGAATACGTCTTGTTCGACATCCCATTCTATACCAAGCGTTCGATGAGTGACGGCACAATCCGCTGATATTCCTAACAATGATTCCTTGGCACCCTTATCCGGTAATATAGACCTCACTTCTTCTGAGTTGGTAACCCACTTTTTTAAGTTAAATCCACCTCTACGTAACAACTCGTTTATCTGCATGACAAATCTCTTCGCTTGGTCACAACTCGAAAAAGATATCAGGCAGTCATCAACGTAAAAGTTATTCTTAACCGCATCAATAACATACTGCTCATAATCACTTGAGAAGCTTAGGGCTGTTTTATTCATAGCAAAGTTCGCACAAAACGGGGATGACGTAGTTCCAAATGGATGAGAGGTCATTTGAAATTCAGAAGGCTCTTTAGATGTGTTCCCACCTTCCCACCATAGATATCTTAACGCTCCCCGGTCACCTTCGGGTACCTTTACTTGCATGAACATTTCTTCAACATCTGCCGATACTGCTACTGCTTCCTTGCGAAAACGTAATAGTATGCTTACCAGATCAGCGGTGCTGTCCGGCCCTTGATAGATCATATCATTTAAAGAGGTTCCAGCAAATTTAGCAGCACAGTCCGGGACCACTCTCAGCTTGTCTGGTTTTTTGGGGTTCAACACGGGATGATGGGGTAAATACCACCGGGGACGATAGTTCGACTTTAGATGCGACTCAGGTACCCTTTGCGCATAGCCTTTAGAGACATTATCTTCCATACATTTGGCGTACCTGTCACGTAACCTATCGTCCCTCATCAATCTTCGCTTTAAACTCTGTAATCTACTATTAGCTACCTCATAGTTAGTTCCTTACGTGGAGGGGTCCTGTTTCCATGGTATTGGGACTACGAAATGGCCATCAACGTAGTGAGTACCTCTCTCCACTATCTCTAAAGCTACCTGGTCTTCTACCGACACTGACTTGTCACTGGAATAGACATCAGCAAATTCTACATCATACAGTTTACGTATCTGATCCTCCAAATCCTGTGCGCTACTAATATGGTTAACAACTCATTTTCTATATTCCGAGTATGATGTAGGTCCAAACACAGTCCATCCAAGTAGTGTCTTTACCGCATACGGCGCTTTCCTCCCACCTAGACGTTGCTCTAACACCCAATGTGCTTCTGGCACGTCACACCCGATGAGCATCAAAACGTCTTCAGATTCTAAACCTTCTACCGGTACATCCTTTAAGTGCGGCCATTTAGTTAGATTTTTCATTGCTAACATGGTGGGCTTATGCCTCGGTAGGCTAGGTACGATCATCGCTCCTTCAATCACGATGTGTTCCAACTGATCTAAAGAATGCACTTCAAAAGTGGCATTCGTACATGCTGCCGTTTTGTCACCACCCACAGTTTGTACCACAACTGACTCACAGTTTTTCGGTAACCCAAGCACCTTTGCACAAGTTGACGTTATCAACGTAGAATCTGAGCCGTTATCTAAAAGAGCATATCCTATTATTTCGGCTGTTTCCGATTTCACACGAACTGGGACCAATCCTAAGCATACCTGTCTGTTCAGTGACCTAGTGAGTCCGCAACAGTGCTGGGATTCACGTTTATCATCCAACCTTTTGATGGTCGAGTCCTCATGCAACAAAACATGATGTTTTTTCTCACACTTGTCGATACCACAACGCATCGTCGATTTACAGTCACTGGCCTTATGCCCTTGCTTCAGACAGGCGAAACACATCCCCTTTTTTCTGACCTGGTTCCATCTATCTTGAACAGTAAACTCTAAAAACTGAGGGCATTTAGTAACCAAGTGATCACCAGTACAAATGCTACAATTATATCTTATATTCGGTATGGTTGCTGGTTTCGATTGAAGTTGACAGTTCATTTTTACATCTCTTCCTATTTTTGGCCGATTAGCCAGCCGACCGAATCTACTATCAGCTATTCTTGCTCGAGATAATATAAACTCAGTAAGTTCCGTAAAGGTAGGCTCTCTATCAAACCATTTTACGGCTAATTCCGCCCATTGAGCTTACATAGACCGGGGCAAATTTCTAACTATTCGCTCCAAAGTAACCAGAGAATTAAGTTCTGTTGTACAATTTAACTGTTCTAAGATTAAAGCCACATTCTGCATTTTAATCGCCAAATTCGTCAATTGTTCAGGATCATTGTAGTCTGCATTAACGGTTCTAAACAAGTCCTCCAAGGTTTCACGGGCTATTACATGCGACTGCCCAAAGGGCTGTTTTAAAATAGCTTTAGCTCTCTTATATCCCGCCTGAGGATCCATTATAAGACAGCCTTCAATCGCATTTTTTGCCTTTCCTTTACAGTAGTGAATTAAATATAATAAACGCACATTGTCATCTTTTACTCGGGGTTCTATAAACGTTTCAATTTGTCGCATAAATCTAAAGTAGTCGCGAGATTATCCATCAAAAAATGAAAGTTCGACCTTAGGTAGTTCTAAACCTACTATCGGTGTCCTAAGTATCTGATCCGTCTCTGGTACCTTAGAACTCTCACTTAAATTTTGTTCCTTAATGCCTGCCAAGGGTGACTTACAATAAAAAGTATCAGACATAACATCATTGCTAATAAAGTAGGAACCCATTAAACAAGCATCATCAACGACTTGCCTAGCGTTTCGGGATCCTACAAGCTCTTCCACCCTCCTCGTGTTTGTTTTCTTGCGGTTGGTCATTATAAGTGAAGTTCAACGGAAGATAAATAACAAATACAAAATATAGTGATTCCACAGGTAGGTTCTCAATAAGAAATGTCCAAAATCAGAAAACCGTTTTCCAAAATACAGTTTGATCACAAAAAATACGGTAAGTAATCCAAGTTCTTCTTCCAAGAAGTTTACTATTATAAACGATTAAATTTCCAAACGTTTCTTTATTCTTCTTAATAATCCGACTGTAATTGGTATTCTAATCAAAAGTTGAGACAACATCAGACTGTAAATGTTCTTAGGAATAATTCCAGAATGTAAATGGATTTCTACGGTGGCAGTTTCAATGGTTTCCAATAAGTGCAACCTGAACTCGTATCTCCCAGTCCGAAAGTCCAGAAAACGCAAAAATTCTAGGAGAAAACGGTCCTTATTAATGAAAAGATGGAAATACAAAGCAATACCTGGAATTAATGCACCTTACAGGTTACAATTACTCCGAAGAGTATCCGACAAAGATGAATAAGTGACGTTAAGTCCAACTGCTACCGGATCAATCCAAATATGGCTGTAGCCATATTGAAGATCAAATTTAAACAACATATATACAGATCAGAAGCAAACACAAAAACTTCAATATAAGTACAAAATATAGAAATAATAACAGTAATCAATGATAAAATCTCAAATTTGGAATCAAATAAAATACCAAAAATGTCAAAAGAAAAGGTCCGTCATGTTATAACAAAAATATGTAAACATGGAGGGATTTTCCAAAAAACAAAACATTCAAAAAGGATTCTACATAAATTGCAGAACAAAAATAGGGAGATAATTATTATTTTGATACCGATCGAATAAGAAGGTATTTACCTCTATGTACACACGAAATTGCTTCAAGCCTATGAAATACATTTGAAGATTGTGACTAATTGTTTCAACACAAAATATGTGCAGTGAATTTCTAACTGTCCAAATATTTAGCAAAACTGATATTTTGTCCTTAGTAATGTTTGACAGCTGTGTCGAATTTTAATCGATGTTCCGTTTCTATTCTGTAATTTGCTATCGATGGAAATAGTTTTCCACTTCACATGTATATCACAGCTGCTTACAGACACTGAGTCGAAAGCCGTCCACGCTTATGGTATTTACACTTGATTATAATATCGCTCCTCTCTATGTATATTTCTTTACAAAAACGTGTGAATTTGTAAATGTGATAGCTTGTGACTTGACGGTTTAAGCAATCTTCAAGTTTATGTGTAAATTTCGACGTAGTCTTTACAATCGCAACGAGTTTAGCAACGTAATATGTTTAATCAATGGCTAAGCATTACTTGAAACATAAGAAGTAAACAATCTATGTTCATCTTTTGTATGTTTCGTTTAGTTAGGAACTATTCAGTAAGACGTTCACATTAGAGTTGCTGAGCTACTGAATCGAAATAACTGATAGCTTGTTAAATGCATATGAAAGTATCATAATGGAATGAATTTGCGATTTCTGTTGGTGATATTAAGGACTGTAACTTATGATTTTGTGCAATCATAAACGGCACTCTGAAACTACTGCCACATACGTCACCCATGATAACGGACACTGATCAATCCGAATTCTGATTTGTAAAGACAGGAAATGGAAACCCTATGCTAATGTTTTTACAATGGTCACTCTAAAATGTGCAAACGGTATCTGTGAAATAGTTACAAGCAAAAAGTCTGATGATTTCGTAAACGAAATGAATATAATTTACTATTAATTACAACATTTTATTCAGTACGATTAGGGCTATCTACTGGATAATGGAAGTGATGCATTGCTCGAGTTTCTATAACGATGAGTAATATTTTTCCCCAATGATCTGCTTTCACCTTTGTAAACTGATAATTCGGGACGTTTCATTTTCTGTTTCATTTTGACATTGGAATTGTCGGGATACAGAACACGTTTATTCATGTATTTATCTCTTCGTTTTGATTGAGTTGTTTTTATATGATATTGTTTACTTTTTATATAACCGAATAAATTGAAAGCGTTAATAAATGTACTACCACGATAACCTTTGGACATTCCACGTGATTGGAATTGTGAATCATCATGTCGTCGACCATATTTATCCGTTCCAGCGTGTAATGTAAAATATGTACTTTCTGAATAACTTCCACCTCTGACACTGTTTCCACAAGATTGAATTTTACCATTTCTACGTGCATAACCATCATGTCTAGATCGAATAGATTTTCTATTTTGTTCATAATTCCCATTAGGATTATTTTCTTTTCGTTTAGTATTTGTGCGTTGTATTGAAACGTCATTGTAATTGTTAGATTGATAAGTTATGTTATTCTTCGAAGGATAATGGTGTAAACGTTCACTGTGATTGTATTTGTTATCACTGATGTCATCATTTTCATCAGTTTTGATAAACTCTATCGATGTCAATGAGATAATAAGTACAAATAACGAATATATATATTTCATGATTCTATTTTTAGGCATAAAACAACTATTAAGCTGATGTTGCATAATTTTGTGAAACTCAATGTTTTTATAACGAAGTTTGATATAAATGTTATACTTATAGTACTTTGTTATATGTTCAATGATAGAGTTGATTTGATGTTCTTTAAATCAATATAGTTTCTCGTTACTGCATTTCATAGCATAATCAAAGTTCATTGAATAGCGCATATATAAGATTTATTAATTTTAGAGAAATATCTATCGATATTTGACACTTTATATAGAAAAAACAATGTTACTGATTTTCATTGTTATTTAGCGGACTTTTGAGAGAACATTTCATTGTGATGATGAGAATGCTGAAAATAGCAAGCAGGGTCTATGGTGAATCTTTTGAAGTCATTAGGAATACCGTGGCAAATGATCGTTTGAAAACTTGCGAAATCGTGTTAAGTGCTATCTTATCTGATATCAAACACTAACTACATTTACATCTTTCTGTCTGTGTTGAACATGACACTGATACGTCAGAATCTGTGCATGCAAACAATGCTATTAAATGTCTACAATATATATTCATTGACAAAGAAGTTGTGCAACGAACCGGATGTAAGAGATGATCTAGTCAGAACTTATTTTCCTAAACATGTTACTAACTAAAGGTTTTAGAGAAAGTTTGAGTATCAAAGAACATTATTTTTAAACTTCACATAGCTAATTTACTATATTTCCATATATAAATAATTATGTATAGAGTAATCGAATGTTTGTTGAGATATTAGTTGCTTGAACATTGAACTGAACGCATATTATTGTATAATATACCTAATTACTCCTCATGTAGCAGAATTAGTTTTATTTTTTAAAGCGGCAAATATATGGATTCAGTATTCATAATGTCGTGGATGATAGAATGTAGTGAGTTCTAGTTGAATTACATTCTCATACATTGTTCTACAGCGTTTTGAATGAATGTAGTTCAACGAATACGATATTTATCGTTTTTCATTTTCGGGGTTGTCCTGACTGAAGGAATGATGAATTTCGGGTAAGACCAAATTCTTTATCCTCACTAGAACTTTTATGGTCAGAATTACTCATCCTTGTTCCATTTGAATTTCGGTGTTTGTTATCAGTGTCCGAAGATAATTTTATTCTAATGTGTTTACCACTCTCTGTGTCTGTTCCTAATCCCATAGTTTTACGTCTGGAAGATACACCACCATTGATATCGAAATAATCATAGGAAAATCTTTTCGAGTAACTCTTTCGTTTTCCACCTCTCTGTATTTTTGAATGTTGGAATGTACGTCTTCCATATTGGTCAACTGATCCCTTCACTTTGAATCTGTATGATCGAGTTGACAAACTATCGTATTCTCCTTTTCCATGCCGTTTGAAATTTCCATGAAGATTTGCTTTTCTTTCATCTCTAAATGCATATCTGTTGGTGGAGAAAACTTGTAGCTCAGGTGGATGATTGTGGTGGTGTTTCGTTCTCTGACGTTCGTGCTGATGATGTTGTTCAGAAGAACAATGAAAGCTCCACAACCAAAACAACCAGCTCAGAGAACGAAACACCACCACATGCATATCTGTTGCTTGTTTTTCCAGTTAGCCATGTAAAGTCGAAATCAAGATCCATTTCGTCTCTTCTTTTAGCATCGCGTGTTTGCGAATTTTGTTTTTCTCTATTCGAATTTGTGTCTAGCGAATTCTGCGTTCTATTTTTTCGCTGAAAGAATGTTTCGCTCATAATTTGACTGATTATGGAATGTAAGAATACCAAATTCAAAAAAATCACAATTTTCATTTCTCTCGTTTCTCAAATAAATAATATTTATTCAGTAACTTTTAATTCTTTCCAATTATATACTAGTTGTGTAGAATTAAAATCTTGCATAATGTTCGGTATTGGGAGGAGAGTGATGCTTCTGTAGTTCTCACACTTGCTGAGATCGCCTTTCTTCGGTGTTTTGACGATGTCTCCTTCTTTTCAATCTGATGGTACTTGTTCCTCATCCCAAATCTTCTTCAAGAGGATTTGCAATATTTTCGCAGTTGCTTACACATCTGCTTTCATTGCCTCTGCTAGTATGTTGTCTGGTCCCACTGATTTGCCTGATAGCCATACTTATCTCTTCAATTGTAGGTGCCCTAACATCGATTGGGTGGTTCATGGATGCTGCTTCGATTTTGGGTGGCTTCAGTTGAGCTGGTCAATTCAAGAGTTCTTAAAGTGCCCTAGCCACCTATTTCACTATTCTTCAGTGTTATTGAGTACTTTGCCTTCCTTTCTTTTCAATGGTCGTTCTGTTTAACGATAGTTTATGGCGAGCTTCTTTGTAGTTTCGCAGAATTGTCTCAAGTTTCCCTCTCTTGCCGCCTTCTCCGTCGTCATTGCTAGATCTTCTACATATTTTCATTTGTCAGCTCTGATGCTCTTCTTGACTTTCCTGTTTGCTTCTGTGTGTGCAGCTTGTGCCTTAACTTTCTCTGTTCCTGTTTGGCTGACATTGATTGCTTCCCTCTTGTTCCTCATTTCTTCAATTTTTGCAAGAGTAACGACAGAGATCCAATCCTTGTGATGGTGCTTTCTGCGACCCAGAACATTGTGATATGTTGAAGTAATTGCCTCCTTGATCCCTTTACAATTGTTCTTCAATGTCGCTTCCTCTCCATTCAGTATATCGTGCAAGGCCTGGAACCTATTGGTGAGGGCTATCTTGAATTCGTTGAGTTTGACGGTATCCCGAAGAAAGGCTTTATTAAACTTGTGTGATGTTGTCCGCCCCGTTGTCCAGTGCTTCTTTAGTTTCAGTATTATTGTAGCAACCAGCAAGTGTATATCTGAGGCTTTGTCGGCTCCTCTCCTGGTTCTCACATCCTCCATGGTCCTTCTGAACATTTTGTTGATACGGATATGGTCAATTTGTTTCTGAGTAGTATGGTCCGGTGAAATCCATGCAGCTTTGTGTAAGCGTTTGTGTGGAAATATGGTACCGCCGATGACTAGTTTGTTGAAAGCACACAGGTTTGTAAATCTCTCACCGTTTTCGTTTCTTTCTCCCAGTTCATGTCGTCCCATGATGTCTTCATATTCAGTGTTGTCCATGCCAAACTTGGCATTTAGGTCTCCCATCAGAATGGTCAAATCCTTTTGTGAGAGTCTGTTGACGATTATCTGCTGCCCCTCGTAGAATTAATCTTTAACGTCGTCATTGGTCTCATTCATAGGTGCGTATCATTGAATGACGTTCATTGTAATGTCCTGTTTCTTTGTTTTGAAGGATTCTTTAATGGTCCTCGGCATCAGCCCCGTGACTTCCAAGTAAACACGGACTTCAACACGCGAAGTCATAATCATTCTTCCAACTCCCTGGTGAGAGTTAAAATTGTTTGAATTGTCTCTTCTGGTTAGCGATTTTTCGCAATCAACATTTTAGACGGGACAGGGCGCCAACCACATGTCCATACATTCTTCCTTTATCCGGGCTTGGAAACGGCAGTGGCCAAGAAGAAACTACAGGAGTAGTTGCTTGATACCATATCACTCTTTCAATAGAGACTAAGTATGAGACTTAGTGATAATTTGTATTACTAGCTAGTTACTGTACGCTTGATGATTGAATAATCCTGAGGTCGTGGTTTTACTAGACTCATGGACTTACAAATGAATTAGAGTGATGATACTAATGTGCACTCAATGTTTCGATTAATGCTTTGCGTACTCTCTCAACGATTGAGTTTGTAGCAATTTATGAATAATTTTAGTGCTAATTGAATATGTACAAACTTCCATAGACAGGGGAAGAGGAAAGTGATTTATTAGTTAGAGAAATTAAACAGCTCATTGGTTGTTCAACTTTATGATATTTTCATTGCATTTTGCACAGTTTTTTTTAAATATATTTAATGGTGGTTTTCGAATGTTTCGATAAAACTGGTTTATTGAACTGCTATTTTTTCATGGGTTTATTGATTTTCGCTTCATTACTATACAATTTCACTTTGGAACTTAAAATAGGCCGAGTTGATTAGTGAAATAACATGTCTTTGAGTTGCACATTTCTAACAATATAGGCATATACAAAAATGTCAAAGGATTTCACATACAAACAATGAATATCAATGAAATAAGATTTTAAATGATGAAAGTAATAATTGCAGAACGAAATTAGGGAGATAATTATTATTTTGATACCGATCGAATAAGAAGGTATTTACCTCTATGTACACACGAAATTGCTTCAAGCCTATGAAATACATTTGAAGATTGTGACTAATTGTTTCAACACAAAATATGTGCAGTGAATTTCTAACTGTCCAAATATTTAGCAAAACTGATATTTTGTCCTTAGTAATGTTTGACAGCTGTGTCGAATTTTAATCGATGTTCCGTTTCTATTCTGTAATTTGCTATCGATGGAAATAGTTTTCCACTTCACATGTATATCACAGCTGCTTACAGACACTGAGTCGAAAGCCGTCCACGCTTATGGTATTTACACTTGATTATAATATCGCTCCTCTCTATGTATATTTCTTTACAAAAACGTGTGAATTTGTAAATGTGATAGCTTGTGACTTGACGGTTTAAGCAATCTTCAAGTTTATGTGTAAATTTCGACGTAGTCTTTACAATCGCAACGAGTTTAGCAACGTAATATGTTTTATCAATGGCTAAGCATTACTTGAAACATAAGAAGTAAACAATCTATGTTCATCTTTTGTATGTTTCGTTTAGTTAGGAACTATTCAGTAAGACGTTCACATTAGAGTTGCTGAGCTACTGAATCGAAATAACTGATAGCTTGTTAAATGCATATGAAAGTATCATAATGGAATGAATTTACAATTTCTGTTGGTGATATTAAGGACTGTAACTTATGATTTTGTGCAATCATAAACGGCACTCTGAAACTACTGCCACATACGTCACCCATGACAACGGAAACTGATCAATCCGAATTCTGATTTGTAAAGACAGGAAATGGAAACCCTATGCTAATGTTTTTACAATGGTCACTCTAAAATGTGCAAACGGTATCTCTGAAATAGTTACAAGCAAAAAGTCTGATGATTTCGTAAACGAAATGAATATAATTTACTATTAATTACAACATTTTATTCAGTACGATTAGGGCTATCTACTGGATAATGGAAGTGATGCATTGCTCGAGTTTCTATAACGATGAGTAATATTTTTCCCCAATGATCTGCTTTCACCTTTGTAAACTGATAATTCGGGACCTTTCATTTTCTGTTTCATTTTGACATTGGAATTGTCGGGATACAGAACACGTTTATTCATGTATTTATCTCTTCGTTTTGATTGAGTTGTTTTTATATGATATTGTTTACTTTTTATATAACCGAATAAATTGAAAGCGTTAATAAATGTACTACCACGATAACCTTTGGACATTCCACGTGATTGGAATTGTGAATCATCATGTCGTCGACCATATTTATCCGTTCCAGCGTGTAATGTAAAATATGTACTTTCTGAATAACTTCCACCTCTGACACTGTTTCCACAAGATTGAATTTTACCATTTCTACGTGCATAACCATCATGTCTAGATCGAATAGATTTTCTATTTTGTTCATAATTCCCATTAGGATTATTTTCTTTTCGTTTAGTATTTGTGCGTTGTATTGAAACGTCATTGTAATTGTTAGATTGATAAGTTATGTTATTCTTCGAAGGATAATGGTGTAAACGTTCACTGTGATTGTATTTGTTATCACTGATGTCATCATTTTCATCAGTTTTGATAAACTCTATCGATGTCAATGAGATAATAAGTACAAATAACGAATATATATATTTCATGATTCTATTTTTAGGCATAAAACAACTATTAAGCTGATGTTGCATAATTTTGTGAAACTCAATGTTTTTATAACGAAGTTTGATATAAATGTTATACTTATAGTACTTTGTTATATGTTCAATGATAGAGTTGATTCGATGTTCCTGAAACTTCCCTGTAACTAAAAATTGGATGCTCTGGTTGACAGAAGAGGCATCAGCCCTGCGACTTCCAAGGGCACTCGGCGTTCAACACGCGATATTATAATTCTGTCTACAAATCCCAGTACAGAGTTAAAATCGTTTGAATTATTTTTCCTTGTTAGCGTTGTTTTGGCAATGCGGTCGCCAACCCCATGTCCAACCCCCCCATTATCCGGGCTTGGGACCGGCAGTGTCCCCGAAGGTTCTACTGACGGAGTTAACGAAGTACTATAAGTATAACATTTATGTCAAACTTCGTTATGAAAACATTGAGTTTCACAAAATTATGCAACATCAGCTTAATAGTTGTTTTATGCCTAAAAATAGAATCATGAAATATATATATTCGTTATTTGTACTTATTATCTCATTGACATCGATAGAATCTATCAAAACTGATGAAAATGATGACATCAATGATAACAAATACAATCATAGTGAACGTTTACACCATTATCCTTCGAAGAATAGCAGAACTTATCAATCTAAGAATTTCAATTATGTTTCAATACAACGCACAAATACTAAACGAAAAGAAAATAATCCTAATGGGAATTATGAACAAAATAGAAAATCTATTCGATCTAGACATGATGGTTATGCACGTAGAAATGGTAAAATTCAATCTTGTGGAAACAGTGGAGAGGATAACACTGTAGAGTCTTCTTCGACACTACCGTGTGCTTGAGGTGATTGTGAACATCATACGGAATCATTATGATTAATTCAACTGAAAAATCGCACACGGAGGACAGCTTAGAGGCTCGTCTGAGTTGAAGACAGGTATGAGGCAAAGTTTCTTTCTCTCACCTTTTCTCTTTCTCCTGGTGATCGACTGGATAATGAAGACATCAACATCTGGAGGGAAGCACGGTATGAACTGGACAGTTAGGACGCAGCTGGACTATCTGGACTTCGTAGATGACTTGGCTCTTCTATCTCACATGCAACAATAAATGCAAGAGAAGACGGCCAGTGTAGCAGCATCCTCTGCAGCAGTAGGTCTCAACATACATAAAGGAAAAAGCAAAACTATCTGATGCAACACAACATGCACCAACCAAATCACTCTTGATGGAGATGCCTTGGAAGACGTTAACACCTTTACATATCTGGGTAGCATCATCGACGAGAAAGGTGGATCAGATGCAGATGTGAGGGCACGGATTGGCAAAGCAAGGGCAGCATTTCTACAGTTGAACTATATCTGGAACTCCAGTTTACTTTCAACCAACACCAAAATCAGGATTTTCAATACAAATGTGAAGACAGTGTTACTGTATGGAGCGGAAAGATGGAGAACTACGAAAGCCATCATCCAGAAGATACAAGTGTTTATTAACAGTTGTCTACGCAAAATACTTCGAATTCGTTGGCCAGACATCATCAGCAACTACGAACTGTGGGAGAGCACAAGCAAGATTCCAGTGAAGGAGGAAATCAGAAAGAACCGCTGTAGGTAGATAAGACACACACTACGAGAAACACCTAACTGCGTCACGAGAAAAGCCCTCACATAGAACCCCCAAGGGAAAAGTAAAAGAGGAGGGCCAAAGAAAACATCACGCCGAGAAATACGGAGAGATATGAGAGGAATGAACAAACATTGGAAAGAACTGGAGAGGGAAGCCAAGGAAAGAGTCAGTTGGAGGAAACTGGTGGGTGGCCTATGCTCCTTTGGGGGTAAAAGGCGTAGGTAAAAAAGAAAGTATAGTACTCTGTTATATGTTCAATGATAGAGTTGATTTGATGTTCTTTAAATCAATATAGTTTCTCGTTACTGCATTTCATAGCATAATCAAAGTTCATTGAATAGCGCATATATAAGATTTATTAATTTTAGAGAAATATCTATCGATATTTGACACTTTATATAGAAAAAACAATGTTACTGATTTTCATTGTTATTTAGCGGACTTTTGAGAGAACATTTCATTGTGATGATGAGAATGCTGAAAATAGCAAGCAGGGTCTATGGTGAATCTTTTGAAGTCATTAGGAATACCGTGGCAAATGATCATTTGAAAACTTGCAAACTCGTGTTATGTGCTATCTTATCTGATATCAAACACTAACTACATTTACATCTTTCTGTTTGTGTTGAACATGAGACTAATTTGTCAGAATCTGTGCACGTAAACAAGGCTATCAAATCTGTGCAATATGTTCAATAACAAAGAAGTTATGCAACGAACCGGATGTAAGAGATGATCTAGTCAGAACTTATTTTCCTAAACATGTTACTAACTAAAGGTTTTAGAGAAAGTTTGAGTATCAAAGAACATTATTTTTAAACTTCACATAGCTAATTTACTATATTTCCATATAAAAATAAATATGTATAGAGTAATCGAATGTTTGTTGAGATATTAGTTGCTTGAACATTGAACTGAACGCATATTATTGTATAATATACCTAATTACTCCTCATGTAGCAGAATTAGTTTTATTTTTTAAAGCGGCAAATATATGGATTCAGTATTCATAATGTCGTGGATGATAGAATGTAGTGAGTTCTAGTTGAATTACATTCTCATACATTGTTCTACAGCGTTTTGAATGAATGTAGTTCAACGAATACGATATTTATCGTTTTTCATTTTCGGGGTTGTCCTGACTGAAGGAATGATGAATTTCGGGTAAGACCAAATTCTTTATCCTCACTAGAACTTTTATGGTCAGAATTACTCATCCTTGTTCCATTTGAATTTCGGTGTTTGTTATCAGTGTCCGAAGATAATTTTATTCTAATGTGTTTACCACTCTCTGTGTCTGTTCCTAATCCCATAGTTTTACGTCTGGAAGATACACCACCATTGATATCGAAATAATCATAGGAAAATCTTTTCGAGTAACTCTTTCGTTTTCCACCTCTCTGTATTTTTGAATGTTGGAATGTACGTCTTCCATATTGGTCAACTGATCCCTTCACTTTGAATCTGTATGATCGAGTTGACAAACTATCGTATTCTCCTTTTCCATGCCGTTTGAAATTTCCATGAAGATTTGCTTTTCTTTCATCTCTAAATGCATATCTGTTGCTTGTTTTTCCAGTTAGCCATGTAAAGTCGAAATCAAGATCCATTTCGTCTCTTCTTTTAGCATCGCGTGTTTGCGAATTTTGTTTTTCTCTATTCGAATTTGTGTCTAGCGAATTCTGCGTTCTATTTTTTCGCTGAAAGAATGTTTCGCTCATAATTTGACTGATTATGGAATGTAAGAATACCAAATTCAAAAAAATCACAATTTTCATTTCTCTCGTTTCTCAAATAAATAATATTTATTCAGTAACTTTTAATTCTTTCCAATTATATACTAGTTGTGTAGAATTAAAATCTTGCATAATGTTCGCAATTCACTATCATGTCGTTGCACTCGAACTATCGATCATTTGTCATATTTATGTTTGATGGTGAAGATGTGTTGATGTTGAATAAATGACGCAGTGTTTTATGCTGTACTTAATAACCCGCAATAGGCATAGCCCGCCCACCAGTTTACTCCAACCAACTCTATGCTGTGCTTCCCTATCCCTTTCTGTCCAATTTTTATTCATTCTTCTCAGGTCTTTCTCTATTTCTTGACGTAATATGTTCCTTGGCCTTCCATTTTTCCTTTTGCGTTTAGGGTCCCATACGTGCACATCTCCGTCGGATCCGCCCCGGTTGTCGACGATGCTGCGAAGATATGTAAATGTGTTATCGTCCTCCAAAGCATCTATATCAAATGTGACTTGGTTGGTGCAAGTTGATGCAAGAGCCAGATCATCTGCGAAGTTCATATCGTCCATCTGCATCCTGGCTGTCCATCGGATACTGTGCTTCAGTCCAGATGTTGACGTCTTCATTTTCCAGTCGATCACCAGGAGAAAGAGAAAGGGTGAGAGAAAAAAACTTTGCCTCATACCTGTCTTCAACTCCAACGAGCCTCTTAGCTGTCCTCCGTGTACTATTTTGCAGCTGAATTAATCATAATGATTCCGTATGATGTTCACAATCACCTCAAGCACACGGTAGTGTCGAAGAAGCCTCCACAGTGTTATCCTCTCCACGCTATCGAATCCCTTATCGCAGTCAATGAAGTTGATGTAAAGTGGCGAGTGCCATTTTATTGATTGGTGCACAATGATCCGTAATGCTGTAATTTGATCAGTACACGATCGATCCTTATGAAATCCAGCCTGTTGATCTCGAAGTTTGGCGTCTACGAAGTCCTTCATTCTGTTTAACAATACCCTGTTGAAGACTTTGCCTGGTATTGAGAGGAGAGTGATGCTTCTGTAGTTCTCACACGTGCTGAGATCGCCTTTCTTCGGTGTTTTGACGATGTCTCCTTCTTTTCAATCTGATGGTACTTGTTCCTCATCCCAAATCTTCTTCAAGAGGATTTGCAATATTTTCGCAGTTGCCTACACATCTGCTTTCATTGCCTCTGCTAGTATGTTGTCTGGTCCTACTGATTTGCCTGATAGGCATCAGCCCTGCGACTTCCAAGGGAACTCGGCGTTCAACACGCGATGTTATAATTCTGTCTACAAATCCCAGTACAGAGTTAAAATCGTTTGAATTATTTTTCCTGGTTAGCGTTATTTTGGCAATGCGGTCGCCAACCCCATGTCCAACCCCCCCATTATCCGGGCTTGGGACCGGTAGTGTCCCCGAAGGTTCTACTGACGGAGTTAACGAAGTACTATAAGTATAACATTTATATCAAACTTCGTTATAAAAACATTGAGTTTCACAAAATTATGCAACATCAGCTTAATAGTTGTTTTATGCCTAAAAATAGAATCATGAAATATATATATTCGTTATTTGTACTTATTATCTCATTGACATCGATAGAATCTATCAAAACGGATGAAAATGATGACATCAATGATAACAAATACAATCATAGTGAACGTTTACACCATTATCCTTCGAAGAATAGCAGAACTTATCAATCTAAGAATTTCAATTATGTTTCAATACAACGCACAAATACTAAACGAAAAGAAAATAATCCTAATGGGAATTATGAACAAAATAGAAAATCTATTCGATCTAGACATGATGGTTATGCACGTAGAAATGGTAAAATTCAATCTTGTGGAAACAGTGGAGAGGATAACACTGTAGAGTCTTCTTCGACACTACCGTGTGCTTGAGGTGATTGTGAACATCATACGGAATCATTATGATTAATTCAACTGAAAAATCGCACACGGAGGACAGCTTAGAGGCTCGTCTGAGTTGAAGACAGGTATGAGGCAAAGTTTCTTTCTCTCACCCTTTCTCTTTCTCCTGGTGATCGACTGGATAATGAAGACATCAACATCTGGAGGGAAGCACGGTATGAACTGGACAGTTAGGACGCAGCTGGACTATCTGGACTTCGTAGATGACTTGGCTCTTCTATCTCACATGCAACAATAAATGCAAGAGAAGACGGCCAGTGTAGCAGCATCCTCTGCAGCAGTAGGTCTCAACATACATAAAGGAAAAAGCAAAACTATCTGATGCAACACAACATGCACCAACCAAATCACTCTTGATGGAGATGCCTTGGAAGACGTTAACACCTTTACATATCTGGGTAGCATCATCGACGAGAAAGGTGGATCAGATGCAGATGTGAGGGCACGGATTGGCAAAGCAAGGGCAGCATTTCTACAGTTGAACTATATCTGGAACTCCAGTTTACTTTCAACCAACACCAAAATCAGGATTTTCAATACAAATTTGAACACAGTTTTACTGTATGGAGTTCACAAACCAACAGAATCTTTCGGTCAATCCTCGCTTTGTAGACCAAACGACAAATTTACGAAGAAAAAATAATAAAATATCATCTCTGAAATAAATTGTCAGACTCTGAAAAACACTACATATGACATATTGGAGGGCCTCTTCAGCTTTGTTTTTAGTGAACACCAATTAGCAATCAGACGCTATGACGTTTCTTCCCTCATATCAATATATACGGACAACTATGCACAATGTTTTATTGGATCAATGTGGAAATCCTGGATTGATGGAGCACGAAGGACACTGGAGTGTTTGCAGAAGCTTGGCAATCGGTAGTTTCAGATGATCTCCACGAGATTTATTACTATTTATATACTGACCTTAATTTTTTGTGAAAAAGATGGAATTTGACTGGCAATGAAAATCAATGTAAAACTATAAGATGCTTGATAAATTGTGAATTCAGCAATCTGAACTGAGTAGATTAGTGTATATCATAATGTTATTTTCAAAAGGAAGGTGCTGCGTTCAAATCTTTGAATGGATATGAACTACGGAACTCAGGTTCCGAGGTGAACGGAAGATGGGTCCCAGACTTAACTGCTATTCGAATTTTATTTATTTTGCAGAAACGTGCAATATAATGTCTGTTACAAGAGAATCAGCACCAAATGCTCAGTCAGCAATATAAAGAAGAAACAGAAGTCGCACACAACAACAGAGCAGCAGAGTAGGAAGTGGAAGCCGTTTAATGTCGGGGACCTGGTAAAATGTGGCGAACGGAAAGGCACCGCAGCATGGGGACAAGGATCGGTGAAGCTGCTCCCGAAGTGGGAAGGACCGTACATTGATATTGAGAGACGTGGCCTTGTTTACACGATACGGAAAGGAGACGACCAAAAACGCGTGAATGCCAGTCAACTGCAGAGGTGGTTTCAAGATTATCAAGAAGTGAGTCACGGAAAGCACCAAAGAACACAGCGGTACGGCGATCAGAAAGATTACGACGACAGCTTATTAAAAGGGGGGACGAGTGTGGTGCGCGCTACTTATAAGTAGTATATGACGTGAGTGAAAACGTTGTCTGGCAGCAGAAGATGGGGGAAGATCAAGAAAGGAAGAGTGGGAACACAATGGAATTTGTATAAAACTCATGAACAGTGAAATATCAGACAATGGATTGATGATGGATTGAAGATTTGCAAATTAACGATTTACGATATGGTTTTCGAATTTTACCAATTAACTCTGTAATTCGCGGTAAATACAATTGATTGCCCTCACCTGTGTTCTGCTTCCCAACACCGAGACAATCAAATGTGATAAAAAAATTAAGTGCGAGATCCATCCGAAATTAAAGAGGTCAATAAGATGATTTTTTAAATAAACTCTTCGAAGACAATTAGGACGAGAATCATGGGTCAGTGCTATTAATAATATTGTGGCATCTTTCATAAATTCCAATATTTAATTGCTTGACCTGCTGGTATCTTTTCAACCATATACCTAGAACTGCAATTTAATCCCACTTACTGCAAGTAGTTCGCTAATGTAGAGGGAATTTACAACAACTACATCGGGAGAACTGGTGTCTCACATGGAATAGAGTATATTTTATCAGGATTTCAGTGTATTTATCGATTACATAGGTATATGTTCATAACTATCTGCACTAAAAATGGGAATCTCGATCTCTCATAGAAATCCGAGAAAATGTACATAATTAAACATAGCTCCTTCATATAGTGGAAGTTGGTAGAGGCAAATCAGGGTTCAAGAAACGATTTTAGTCTGAACACTATGAACATCATTGCAAGCAATCAGGTCAATTCATTCAAATTATTAGGATTTATCAAGCGCTAACAATGTACACCGAATATCAGTTGACTAAAATGCACTGATGAATTTCCATCACATGCTTGCTTATTACGAATTTACGAAATCTGTTAACGAAATATCAGAATTCGATAAAGAAATATATATATATATATATATATATATATATATATATATATAATATGTATATATGTATATATAATTATAGGAATTTGGAAATAATCACTCAGTAAAATTAATGTTCATCACTATAGAGTAAACTTAATGAAGATCTATTTTGTGTATTCGTTAATATTATTTTCACTGTTCCCACTTGTATGTCACCAAGCTAACGTAACGGAAGATGTATTCAGAAGAACAGAAAAGAGTAAAAATTCTAACAGTACAATGCTTATAACAAAAAAAACTAAGACAACGAAGAATTCGTCAGAAGACACAATCCACAATCATTCAAATGATAACGGGGATTTCGGACTTCTCGACCTATCTTTCCTCTTCCGAAAAAAATACTCACATGCAAGAAAACGTAATATCAATACAAGAGGTTATCAAACATTTTACGGAAAACGTAGACGAGGCAGCAAATCTCATGTGCGGACAACATTTAGAAAGCGTTCTAGATATGACTACAATGGTCGAAAGAATAGGAGTTCCACGTTCGAAAGTTATGGTGAGGCAGACAGTTTCGACAGGAAGAAAATACGTGATGTATATGACGTGATTGGTCAAGCTAATGAGAAGCGTGAGCGTACTAAACTCGGTGGATACATCGAGAACCAGCGTCATGTTGTTGTGTCTGGCAGTAAGAAAGACAACCGATGGAAGAAAGATAGTGATTCTTCTGAAAAAAGTCAAAGTTCTGAGAAGAACACTGGTAATCAAGAATCTAATCATCAGGAAAACAATAGAACTATAATCACACGTATGACTAGACAATGACTGATATTTATTTGGTATCTCAAAAATTACCCTATTCTTTATTGAAAACCCGTAATTATGGTCCTATTACACAAACCACTTACAAGTTGCCTTAATCAAAGTCTATACAAGATTTTTCAGTCACAAAACTCAGAGAGCAAATACACACCTAACATAGAATTATTTATTTTGTTATTAATAATTATCACGCAAATTAATAAACTGCAGTACAGCAAGTTTTGTAACATTTAGATATTTCAATGTAATCACGTTAACACACACTGAGAATTTCAGAATCAAATTATTCACTTCTGAACGTCTTTGTATTCACATATTTTAAAAAAGCTGAGAACTTTCAATAAAATTGAATGAACCACTGACCAACAGAATATCACCATTAAGTCTCTCAGCTTCACTTTATACCCGATTAAGTGTAAACTACGGTTATGTGATAACACAGAATAATTAGTAGGAGACTCTGAACAGTGTAAATAACCGTCTGTCGTACTATCAAAATTAGAAAAAAAAATTTACATTGTGAATGATTTGCGTGAGGTTAAGATGATCAAAGAAACGTAAGACTAAAAACGTACATTTCCCGCTTTGATTAAACAGATCAGAACACTAAATCTAATGTTCTCCTTCATTGAAATACGAAAGATACAAATTTCACACTGCTTTTATAATTACTCGAAAGCAACACTTCTCCTTGTGTAGTTATATGCTCTTGAACTAAGCAAAACATGCAAGCGTCTTATTGGATGCATTGACAACATTTCATCAGAATGTATAATTACGGAGAAAAGACAAATCATAAATATGGTTCGCACATGGTAAACCATTTGATGTCTTTTGATAGTAAACTTGACGAAACTGAATGAACCGAGCAGACTGAAACACCGTATCTGGGTCGTTGGACACCAGGTTTCGTACTGCTGAGTTCTCTATACTAAGGCGTATCTGTGATCTCGATTGAATTGATAGACTCTGAGTTATCCGGTCTAGGACGTGGTAAACACGCTGTTTTATGTCCAGCTGGCTGAGATTCTTTCATTCAATAACCGGACAACACCAATAAATAAACAGATTCACTGTTCGCTATCAATCAAAAATATCCTAGACCTACAGAATGCCAGCTGCATTTCAATTAACTGACTGATAACGTCTGAAACTAGGAATATGTGTGATCTATCTTCGAATCCACTGGAAGATATTATTCTCTATTTACTGCATGTATTACTAGTTGATGAACACCTAATAGAATGAACTCACGTTCAAAGATTTTAGTTGATAGCCTCTAGCTACCTTGCATCAAAATACAGTGCATATCGTGTTGCGACAAAAATGCCACTACCATACTTCATTGTTGATTTGTTTCTGTAAACGACTAGAGTGGTAATGTTTACATTTTCAGTTCGTGAATAACTAAAAAATTCCATTTTATCTTTTTTTCTGGAGAGATATTTTATGAATGTCAAGTTTTCATATGATAAAGTCCATTTAGTTTAGAGGTTAGTTTCTAAACAGTGGTCATTTGTTACAGTTACACTACAGTAATCAGTAGGTCACTAAAGGTATTCATGTTTTTTCAAGCTAATTTACACACACATTGACTAAACCTAACTTCTGAATCTACTGTTTAGGATGCCATTACAATCACTAGCTTACCGTACCCTGGGAATCCTCATGCATTTAATTTCATATACGATTAATATGATTAGTCACTTTTGATGAACTTATTTAATGCACAAATCCGCAAGTAAAACCACTGTATTTCGTGACTAAAGTTCAGTATGAACGAGAAATTTCACAAATTGGTAAAAGGCCGAGTAGTACAAACAAAATGAAACAACGGGCGTTTTAATGAAGAATAGTACTTTAAACACTTGTCGTGAACTAACCTTGCTTTTGAGTATTCATTAGCATCGAAAACCTTCTTAATCTACTCTAGCGTGAATTATTTAGGATGAAGTATGTAGTTTTGTCAAAACTAGATTTGTGGTACTTCATTATTAATTGACTTGCACACTGTTTCGCATTTTGTGCAGTTTTGTCGATCTCCTCCACCCTCCCTTAAACGTCTGTACTTATTAATGCGCACTTTTAGACTATTTTAATCGTGTGGAGGAAGAAATGCAGTGAGATGAGTGTGGTAAATGTTTCCACAAGATGTGTGCCCGTTTGAAACTCACCACAAACGAAAGATCCTCGTAGCTTAACTCCTATTAGCTTTGTATGCTTTGATGCTTGAGTGATACCTTATGAATTAAGGCAAATACAAAGAATGCACCGGCAAGTAAACATAGTGCGAACTACAAGCGCGACATTGAAATCATATCTGACGACCCAGACATAACTGACACCGTTCTCACTAGTCAAGTTATGGCTGTTCCGAGTAACAGTACTCTGATAGCCGTGCAGGAAAATGAACAAGAAATAAAATCACTATAGAATCTTTTTTGAATGTTTTGTTTTTTGGAAAATCCCTTCATGTATATATATTTGTGTTATGATATGACTGACTCTTTCTGTTGACATTTTGGTACTTTATTTGATTCCATTTTGAGATTTTATCATTGTATATTGTTATTATTTCTATATCTTGTACTTATATTGAAGTTTTTATGTTTGCTTCTGAACTATACATATGTTGTTTTAATTTGATATTTAATATGGCTACAGCCATTTTGGATTCGATACCGTAGCAATTTGAACTGGAAGCACTTATTCTTCCAGAAGCGGATACCCACCAGTGTAAGTTGGACTTGGAAGGTGTAACAATAGTTGGGTAAGTGTATGTATTTCCATTTCTTAATGAATAAAGATCGCTTTCTCCCAGAATTATTGTGTTTTTGATATCGGATTCGGGACAGCGCGTTTCAACCTGCACCTATTGGAAACGGAGTGAATTGCTGTGGTAGAAAATCCATCTACAGTCACGCACATGAAGAGAACACTTATGGTCGGTAAGTCGAGGAAATCTTTGCCAAAGCTACAGTTTGAAACTATACTCAACTGTAACTGTGAAGGAGATTGTTTCAAACAGTTGATAAAAGAAAGTGAATGGACCAAAAGAAATATTTTCTTGATAAGAGAAGTCATTAAGAACGAAAGTCACTCTGGAAACTATTGACATAAAAGCTATAATCAGCATTTATAAAGAATATCTAACTGATCTAATTAAGTTCGCTTTCAGTTGACAACTTTATAAAAAGATCGTACGATACACAATACATTGTTTTGACAGCGGAAATAATTACTATGAAAATATAACACCTGCATATGAAACGGATACTTTCAGAATTCACAATATTTTCATCATATTGACTGTTTTATCAATGCCATAAAGCACGCATAAGAAAAGGTCAACATTTCGAAGATGAAGTTATTGTGTTGCACTTCAGTAGATATTTTGTATAAATACGTTTAACATCTTTCAATGGTTATGACTAAAGTATTTTCGAGAAATAAAATAAGATCAAACTATCACTTTTGAGAGGTTGACATTTTTCGAATTTTTCATGCCGTATTTAAATTTAATTTGAAATAATAATCATTATCTGATTTTCTAGTGAAAAAGAAAACCGAAATAAGGTAGACAAAATAATAGGATAGGAAACTTTCTTATCACTTTGAGAATGAGTACATTTTGTGGCAAAATTATGCAGGCGAGTTCGTGATTAGTATATATGTTTTCTGTGATTTAAAGGAACGAGGTACATGTAAACTTTGAAGCCAATTTATTCACACAAATGCATGTTCTTCAAATTGAATTTTATTTTAATTCGTAAAATCAACTAGAATGGCAGACATGTCTATTTAGAAAATAAGGCTTCGAAAATTTGAACAGAACATTTAAGTTTTAGTTAACTGAATACATTATCAGTCGAAAAAAGCAGTATGTTATCATTTGTTTACTCTTTGAAAGATTTCAGTCTTATTCCTTGAGTCACTGCTAGAAATGCTGTTACCCGTGTTCTTCTCAGAACTTTGACTTTTTTCAGAAGAATCACTATCTTTCTTCCATCGGTTGTCTTTCTTACTGCCAGACACAACAACATGACGCTGGTTCTCGATGTATCCACCGAGTTTAGTACGCTCACGCTTCTCATTAGCTTGACCAATCACGTCATATACATCACGTATTTTCTTCCTGTCGAAACTGTCTGCCTCACCATAACTTTCGAACGTGGAACTCCTATTCTTTCGACCATTGTAGTCATATCTAGAACGCTTTCTAAATGTTGTCCGCACATGAGATTTGCTGCCTCGTCTACGTTTTCCGTAAAATGTTTGATAACCTCTTGTATTGATATTACGTTTTCTTGCATGTGAGTATTTTTTTCGGAAGAGGAAAGATAGGTCGAGAAGTCCGAAATCCCCGTTATCATTTGAATGATTGTGAATTGTGTCTTCTGACGAATTCTTCATTGTCTTAGTTTTTTTCTTTTTCAGGCTGGTACTGTTAGCGGTTCTATGAGAATCGGTTTCTAGGCTTACTTCAGTTAAATTTGGCAACTGTTGTGATTTTTGCTGACATATCACAGTGCAAAGAGATGCTAAGATCAGCGAATACAAAAAATAATCCTTCATTACGTTTGTTTTGTTATGATCAGCATTGAGTTATTGGAACTAGTAAATTTTACCTCTTAAATTCACACATTTATATTCATTCATTCATTCATCTTATTAAACGAAAACTGTCCCTGTAAGTTCGTAATAAGCAAGCATGTGACTACATTTCGGTAGTGCATTTTTGTCAATCCATATTTGGCGTACACTGTTAATGCTTTAAAATATTTAATAATTTGGAGTGTTGGATGTTCTATTTTTTCATTTTTTTACTCTCAGTATGAAGGGATTGTGTAATAATAAAAAATGTTTGCGTGTAATATTCGCATGAAATTTCACACGTGATTTTTTCGACATAACTATAAAGGCTAGTAACAAAACACCTTGCGTATTGTAGAGAAGTGTACTGGATCAACTTTTATTGAGAGAATGAGAGTGGCTTAACTGAA